TGATTTTTATTAGAAATCATAAGACTCTTTAATATATTGGTAAAATATTATTTTTTTAAATCACAAGCTTTTCAATATGTTGGTAAAGCCTTTTGAAAACTTTTTTTTTTGTTTTTCTTAAATTTAATTTTTAAAAATTCATAAGGTTTTTCAGATATTGGTAAAACCTATAAAAATAAAATTACAAACCCTCTAATATGTTAGTAAGGTTATTTTTATTTAAATAGGTTTTTACAAAAGTATTTAAAAAAATAAATAAATAAATGAGTAAAATAAACATTAAAAAAAAATTCAGCTCAACTTGGTGGCTTGAAGGCGCAGCTCGACTTCAAGCATAAAACCTAGCTAGAATGGCTCGGCTTGACTTGAAAAGGGCTATTGGAACCAGGTCACAAAACAAGTAACGTAGCAAATCGGATTTGGGCATGAGAAACATGTGAATCCTATTGAACTCTAGATTCAAAACAGCGCCATTTAGCACTTCTATAAAAGGCAAAAATTTTTATTTTTATAAAAATTTTTATTTTTTGTCTTAGATTTCCCTTCACTCTCTCTCTAACCCATTTTCTCTTTACTTTTTTTTTAGAAAAACATGAACATCGATGGTCGAAAATTGGAAACTTGTCAAGCTCTGAAAAAAAAATGCTGAAATCTCACTAGAAACTTCAACCTTCACTAGAAAATTCAATCGACAAATTTAAAATTCATTCAATTTCCAAAATTTTCCACAAGATTCCAAAAAATACAAAAAAAAATCTTAAAAAAAAAAAATTACATTCTTTGCCTACTAGATTCTACCTTGATCGAATTACACCCTCACCATTTCCCAAATTTCCCTAAAAAAAATTGTAAATCCCTATTACCATAAAAAAACTCTCTTCAAACTATGTGATTTTTTTTTGTATACTTTTTACCTATTCTCTTCATGTGTTTTATTTGTCTTCACTATGTGTTAAATAGCATTTATATAGGCTTTTAACAATGATTTTAAGGATTTCATTTAATAGCAAAGATCGAATTTGTCACAAACAAATTTGATCCTATTTGTTACTTGATTTATTCATTTAAAAATTGGTTCAATTACCATTACCACTTCTCATAATTTAGTTTCCTTTTTTATGCAAATTTGATTTTTGAGATTGAATGCCCTAAACAGGATCACAAATTATTTTGATTTTCTTTCTTTTTTAGTTTTTATTTAATTTTTATTAAAGCAATGAAATAAAAAAAAGCAAAAAAAAGTTACCTACTGGGCTCAAGCCCAAACACAAACAAAATAAAACTATCTATTGGGCTCAAAGCTCAAACACCAAATGTCCATTCAAAGCCTAAATCAATTTTTAAGACCCAATTGATATTTCGAAATCTTAATAATCCATATGAAATTCGACTCGAAGAAGTTAAATATCTTGACCAATTGATTAAAAGTCTTGGACAAAATAGTGTCTACACAAACAAGTTTAATTTTAATTCCCTGATTAACCAAAACAATGAATATATTCCTTAAGTGATGTCCAGCTTTGTTCATACAACATGCAGATTTTCCTCTTGCATGTTTAGTTAGCTAATCTACTTGTCAATAGTTCACAAGCTTAATTATTTTTAAAATATTATGTATGCTTACATTTTAACCATTACTTCCTCCATATTGTGGGATAAAAAAACCCATGTTATATTGGTTATCCTGAAACATCTTAATATTTTCCATAAGAAAGTTTAAGGGATTGCTTATGTAATGTTTATATTAGATAATTTTAATTGTGCACAAAGTATATATATGGTGTAGTAACATTCAATATGGTGGTTTTTTAGAATGGAAAGGCTATGATGCTTAACTTGCTATAGAACTGAATAAGCTTGAATGCTTTTAATCAATCAAGCTTTATTCTAATCAAGTAATCATAGATGTTTTTGTATTTAGTGTTTATGGTTAGGTTATTATTAGTTAACTTTTCTTTTTACTGTAGCTTTTGTTTTATTATCTTTGTGTAAGTAAAGTGTTAGTTCATTTAGTCCATGAGCTTTGTTACATTCCCATTTGTATGTTTGTCAATTATGTTTCTTCTCTTCTTGAACACCATTGTAAGTCCCAGTAAACCATTTCATTTTATTTTTTCTTTAATGTGATTGTTTGATGTCATTGTGTTATTATTTTTACTTTAAAATTACGTTATAACTCTTTAAGGTCCACTTTCATATTTATTTTTTGTAATCTAAATTTTTTTCATAATTTGTAGCTGCCAACAAGTTTTCAATCTAAACTTGACCATCAATCATTCGTCAACTATAATTCCTTATTTTAATACATGAGATACATAAATGTTAATTGCTTTTAGTTCTAAAAATTAAATTAAAAGTTAAAGCTTGTTAACAAATTAGGTGACTTCTGAAGTTTGGTTTTCCATTAAGTGTTCAAATTTTTTATTAAGTGTTTAAACTTGCATAATTAACAAGAATATAGGTAATTGACTCTAGGATTTATGAAGTTGTTATTTTTGTTCATAGACTTAGAGCTTAAATATGCTTAAGTCAAATGGGATAAGATAGAGGAAAGATTTAGTAAGCTTTCATGTGTATAGCATTGCATTAAGGTAAGGTAATAACATCCTTCTAAGAATATTAACGCTGCTACTAATCAAGTATTTCACTTTATTTACTAGGATTGTCTTCTCTCTATTAACAATAGTAATCATAATGTAAGTCTTGCAAGATTTTATTCTATTGTAGGATTTGGTGGTCAATTATCGTTCTATAAGGTAGTGTTTAAGAATAGAAAAAAAATGTAATGCTTAACTTGCAATAAAATTCAATAAGCTTGATTTTTTTGCTTTTAATCGCTTAGGTCCTACAAGGCTTATTCTCAAAAGAATCCCTTGTAAAGAAATCAAGTTACAAAACTTCTCTCTACATGTGATTTTCAACCCAAAAGATAAAATTTTTCATAACATCACATATAATTGTTTTACATGGAAAAAGAAAAAAAATCCAAAATTGAACATATGCCACAACCCTAACTCAACAAGGTGCTGATTTTTTGTTATGCTTCTGATGCAATAGTAAGCACCCATGATTCTTTTTGTACTTGTTGGTGTTTGAATATGATGAATCTTTCTTTTTATATACAAATTTTGGCTTTATTTTGTGTTAAGTTGCAAGCATGACTATTTTTTTTGTGTTAAATTATAAGATGTCACTTGCTAATGGAAAGCTACCACAAATCTTAGACTTTGCTCTGTGTTGAGTTGTAAGTAAAGCTTTCTTTTTATGTTACATTACATCAAGTATGACTTTTTTTTTAAATCTAAATAATAAACTTTTCTTCAGTGAATAAATTAGATATTTGATCATCATTGAGATCAACTAATGTAAATATTCAAACATAATTATAATAACAATTACAGTGAAACCTTATTGAGGATAAAGGATTGAAATTATAGTTGTATTCTACAACTATTTTTAATTCTCTTAGCAAGATCCCATTTAAAATTTTAGGCTCTTCAATGAATAAGTTGATATTTACATCTTAATGTAAATATGTAACTAATGTGAACATAATTAGTTAGTTTGTTGTTCTTCCATTATGAATGAATTGTATAAACTTAATGTCTTCCAAATTTTTTTATATAAGCATTATATGTCCTTATAACCATTAATTAATATAATTTGTTTTTTATAATTTAATAAAAAGATGGCAAATAAAATATGATTTTAAATAGACTTCTAATATTTAATATCCAATCACACAAAAAAAAAGACAAGAAAGAGTCACTTTCAATTAAAATTACATTTTAATTTGTACTATTGAAAAAAAGAAAAATTTTAAAAAAATTAATTGTAATATTTTTGTATTAAGATTAATTTAATAAAAAATTATAAATATATCAAAAGAAGTCTTCAGACGACAAAAATCTAATATAAAAACACCATTATTTAATCTTAAATGTTAATGTCATTTCATCAAATCATATTATCAGCATGCAAAAAGATCAGTCAAATTAAAAATGTTACCTTTATTACTAACTAAAAATATAAATTCACCAATGAGCCTTTGACTTAAGAAGACGAGACGTTAGACCCTTCAAAGGTTGTCAAAGTTTAAAAGATAATTTTCTTTCCTGCTAGGGTAAGTTTCTATAATTAGGATTAAAAATGTAATTGATTGAGTTCGAATCAATATAATATTAAATTTAAATTTGATTTTAAATTCGAGATTTGAAATTCAGTTCAAACTCAATCAAATTTTATTTTTTTAATTTGAGTTCGATCTAAGATAAAAATCAAGCTATTTAAGCTTGCTCGATTAATATGTAAAATAAACTAAATTTTTATATTCAACAAAAGCTTAATTATTTGAACTTAAATTCGATATATTTTATCAATTAAAATAATTAAAATATAAAAACTCAATTAAACTCGTAAGCTACTCGAATTGGATATAAAAATGTTTAAACTTGATTCGATTGATAAGTTAACTATTTGAGTTCGAATTCGACTCAATAATAATTATGTCGAATTTAAATTTTATTCGAATTAAACTTAAATAATTTATAAATATTAATACATCATTTACATCTTTAATTAAAATAAAATAGAATAACTTAAAATATATATATATATATAAATGGTCACAATCACTTATCTTCTTTATTTTATTCCTTAATGTTAATAATCGTGAGTTTTTTTATTTAAAATTGATGTGAATGTTTTTTTTCAAAGAATTGGAATTTTTTCTTGTCTTTGTGGTGGAGAACGAAACGGCAGAAGCCTGCCCAGGTGCATGTTTTTGTGCTACGTGGATGGATGTGAGTGATTGACCCAAAACGCAAAGCCGCATATAATGCATTAAATTTTGACTTTTGACTTTGCTTTTAGCTGCATCAACCAATCAAAACTAGCCACGTATTTAACATCTGAATTCCTAAAGCAGTTATAATTTTACTATAATAACTATTATATAAACGAGGCCTTCGATTGCTAAAACTCTTCACTTTCTTTCACGAAAGCGTTCGTCTCCGCGTTGCCTCTGCAATCCTCCAAAAGTCTCCCCTTTTTTCTTTTTTTCTTTTTTGAATTTGTAGATTTTCTTTTTTTTTTGTTAGAGTTTCTGTTTTTTTTTTTTTGGTTATAAAATCAAATTTTGTACTTTGAGTTGCTTTTCTTATTTGTCTTCGGAATCGTCATCCTTATTTTCTCTTATTATTATCAATAATATTTTGTTCTTCCCTTTTAAACGAAAGGTCTAAGTTTCACAGATCTAATCATGATTTCGTTGTTTTTTATTTTTATTTTTATTTTTCATGTTAAATTATATGTGACATTGATTTTTCTTTTTTTTTCGGTATCTTATTGAATCATGTAATCTGGTCCAGTAAGGGTTTTCTTCTGCATAACTTTGGTTTAAGTTAGAGCTGTGTGTTGAATTGAATTGGCTAAAATACTAAAAAAAGCCCTTGAATTATTTCACTTTTCTTAAATAAGCCTTTATACTTTCATTTTACTCAAATAAGCTCTTATCCTTTGATTTGTATCCAAATAAGACCTTATTTCGAACCGAAGATTGATTTATGTTAAGGGCTCGTTTAGGTACAAATTAACGGTTAGGGCTTATTTTGATGCAAATTAAAAGATTAAGGGCTTATTAAGATACAAATTAAAAGTTAAGGACTTATTTGGGTGCAATAAAAATATAGGGACTTATTTAAATAAAGTGACAAAGTTCAAGGGCTTTATTATTATTTTAGCCAATTGAATTTTGGGCTATAATTTAAATTGGAAAAAATGTTCCTTAATGTGAATTGTTAGATAAAAGGAGTATCATATGAATGAGGTGAAACAAGTACTATTATAATCGGTAGAAATCAATCTATTTATGAAGATGCTTTCAAAATGTACTCATTTATCGAAGGGAATTTTTCGTGTGATTTGTAGCAGTTTGCACATGTAACATAAGTTGAGCGATGACCATATTGTAGAGAATTTCAATTGTTTCAGCTTATCAGGTTTATAATCAGGTTTAAACCAAATGGTTGGTGTTTGTGGAAGAGAGATGTGGTAATGCATTGCTATAGGCTCATTTGGGTTATTATTGTTGTGCTTGAATGTTACAACATAATGGGCATTTTAGCTACTTTGCATTGACATTTCACTCTTCTTTGCAAGTTGTTATAAAACACACAATTGAGAGTTCATTGTTTTTTTTTTTTTAAATGCATTTATCTCCCTTTTATGCATTTCTGTATGTTTTCTATATTCATGCTATTTTAAGGTGATACATAGGACTTTCATTTACAGCTGGAACTGACTTTGTGTTGCCTTGGGCTACAGCTTTGCTAACTTGATCTTCATGAATTCAAGAACTGTTGCATCCACAGTTTCCTGCAAATCGGGGAACAAGAACGATTTTATTTTCTGGATTTTGGCTTGCTTGCTTCCTAGTTTTCTAGGATCCCCTGTTGCATACGTTAACTTCCTGCTATTTAAGGCCATTGTTAGGTGCCCTTCTTCATCTATTCGCATAGTGGAATCATTCAGCGAGATCCATTTATAGCCTCAAAAGCTTTTTAAAATTATCCGCCTGATTTCATATAAGCAGCATGGTTTCCTCTCACTTATCTAGTTTAAATGGATCCCACATTCACAAAGCCTTCCAGAATCATTTGCTTTTTCCCAAGGGGCAACCTGGTACTTTGACCTCTGATCATCTTGAGTTTGATTTCTCTGATGTGTTTGGGCCTGCTCCTGTTCAAGCCTCAATGAAAATCAGCACTGAGAATCCTAAAAATCTGGTTGTTATGACTGAATCAAATGAATTGCTTTATGATGATCCAGCTGTCATCTGTAGCCGCTCACACTCCTTGGTTGGTCCCTCAACTTATGTTAGCCAGTCATTGAAGCTTAGCAAGCTTATATTACGTGAAACAGGGGATTCCTTGGAACTTGTAGAAGGAGTCAGGGAAGAGGCTCAAAAAGAGCTCACAGAACCTTCAATTATTGACGTCATTCCCAAGAACCCTGATGGTCATGTAGAGAGTCAACCCGTGGAACAGCAGTATGTGGGACTCATAGATTTTGAAGTTTTAAAGGTTGTTGGCCAAGGTGCTTTTGGAAAGGTGTATCAAGTAAGGTTGAGCAATACCTCTGACATATATGCGATGAAGGTCATGCGCAAGGATAAGATTATGGAGAAAAATCACACTGAATATATGAAATCTGAGAGGGATATATTAACAAAAGTGGATCACCCCTTCATTGTGCAGCTCAGATACTCATTCCAAGTAATGATGTACTAGTAGAATAATTTTTAATATTTTTGGTTACTTTATTCTCTTATGATATTCACATGTTTTGATGATACAATGATAGTACAAATAGGATAATGTACTGGTGCTGAATATTTTGGCAGTCCTTTTTTTTTTTGCTTGGACTGTCATATTTATTATAGATACAAGTTAATTCATTTATATTTTCATGCAGACCAAGTATAGGCTGTATCTTGTGCTTGACTTTGTTAATGGGGGGCATCTTTTCTTCCAGCTTTACCGCCAGGGCTTGTTCAGGTAGGTATTGTAAGCTGTAACTGCTTTTTGCATTTATGAAGTGAAATTTCTGGAGCATGGTCCAACATTTTTCATTTCCTTCTTCAGGGAAGATTTGGCTCGCATATATACTGCAGAGATAGTATCAGCTGTTTCTCATATCCATGCAAATGGCATAATGCACAGGGATCTAAAACCTGAAAATATTCTTCTTGATGCAGATGGGAATGTAAGAATGTGCAAAATGCTCTTTGTGTGTATGTATGTGTGTGCAAATGCTTTTTTTCATCTACTAGAAATTGTATCTACTGTTTGTATGTCCATGCTTATAGCAGAATTCAAGGTTTTCAAACCTGAAATGTTGTTTGGATGTATGTGTGACCTGGTGGCTGGTTTTTGTTGGTCACAATCTATGTGACTGCATGATCAGTAAACTATGTGCATTGCTCTCTCATGTTTAACATTGATTGCATCAACTGATTTCTAAACTATCTTCATGGTGGTTGGTGCTACCCTTATGTCACAGTCTATGTGATTGCATGATTGGGAAACTGTGTGCATTGCTGACTCATTTTTAACATTGATTGCATCAACTGATTTCTAAACTATCTTCATGGTGGTTGATGCTTCCCTTGTGTTATCAGGTTATGCTGACTGATTTTGGCCTAGCAAAGGAATTTGACAAAAATACAAGATCCAATTCCATGTGTGGAACTTTAGAATATATGTCACCTGAAATTGTTCTTGGCAAAGGCCATGACAAGGCTGCCGATTGGTGGAGTGTGGGAATTCTACTCTTTGAAATGCTTACTGGGAAGGTTGGTATATGATTATACACTCTGATAATTTTATTTGTGTTCTACCAATCTGTGGTAAGCATTAGTGTAATTTGATCCATGTCAGTGATCCCATATAGTGGAAAGGGTTTTGTTGTTGTCTATGCACTTGTGGTAAAGTGAAGCTTTTTCCAGGAGCAGAAAATTTTCCATTCTTAATGTACAGCTTGTAATTTCATTGGGGAGAAAGCAGACTTTTCTTTCGCCCTCGGTGCTTGATGAAACCAACTTGACTGTATTCTTGATTAATTAATAATGTTGGGACTTGGGAGCAATATGACCTTTGGAAAATAGGTTGACTCGTTTAAATGCTTTCCATTGTATGGTTTGGGAAGCAACCTGTTTAGTTTAGGAACTTTGCTTGCCTGTTTCAGTCCTTTGATCATATGTTTTTCAGAGGAAGTCTCATCTAGGAACAGATACATAACAATAATATCTACCTATAATCACATATACATCATAGAGAAGTGATACAGAATTGTTCCAGATTGTTTTTTGTTCTTGTGGCATTACATTAAGAATAACGTATGGTAAAGTTGGGGGAAGGGGGGAAGGCAATTTAAGAATCAGATTAACTTCTAATACTTTCGGACCTGTTTGGCTTAACTGTAGTCTTGTGATTTCAGATCTTGATTTGCTCTTACGTCCTGTGGAAGTTCATTTGTAGTGTCTCACAATTCCTAACCATTGCTTTTGTTATTCATGCTTAGCCTTACTTTTGATTATCGTTTACTGTTTTGCAGCCACCCTTTTCTGGTGGAAACAGACAGAAGATCCAGGAGAAAATAATAAAGGATAAGATCAAGCTGCCAGCATTTTTGTCAAGTGAAGCACACTCAATCCTCAAGGGGATTAAATTCACTTTCTCATATATTTATGCCTTTATCATAATGATTCAATGCTCTGAAAAAGTAACACTTCCATAGCTGTGAACTTAATTGTTCTACTTCATGTTATGCAAAAATGTTTAGAACTTGTACAGCTGTGAAACTAAATTGTGCTGCTTCAAGTTATGCAATTTTTTATCATTCCTCCTGACCATCCGGTTTGAATTTTCGTACCTCTACATAACCAGTTGATGCTACAAATAATTAATGAGGAATTTTAGATTTAAAAGACTTTATTATTCTCTTCAGCTGCTACAGAAAGAACCAAGCAAGCGACTTGGCAGTGGACAAGGTGGTAGTGAGGAGATCAAATGCCATAAGTGGTTCGAGTCCATTAACTGGAAGAAATTAGAGGCTCGGGAGATTAGGCCAAGTTTTCTCCCTAAAGTCGCAGGGAACCACTGTGTTTCCTAATTTTGAGGAGTGCTGGACTAACATGCCAGTTCTTGATTCTCCAATTGCTAGCCCAACATTCGGCGAGAATCCCTTTAAGGGGTTCACATATGTGAGGCCTGCAGCCTCATTTCTTCAGAGAAATGCTTGATATTGTTTGGGATTTTTAATGTTCACATATTCCCAAGTGGCTGAAGATGGCTGCCCTAGCAAGCTTCTGTCCTTGAGTTTGTTGATTGTCAAAATCGTCAACTATGAACTACATATTATTTGTTATTTCTTTCCTTTTTGTTTCTTTAAACCAAACACTGCTGTCTGCTCTTAAACATGTATTTTGAGAAGACATGATTGATATTATGAAAAATCCAAACAGTGTTTTTGTGTTGAAGCAGTTGTTTTATGACTCCGTCCTTGATGCTTAGATGGTCACAAGGTAGCTGTTTCAAGTACAAAAGTCAACATTTTTCAAATTGCTGAGGATGTTGAACCAACAGGACTTCTATAAGTTAGAACTTTCTGTGTTGTATCCTATGATTTCCATCGTAATAACAGTCATAGATTGTAGTGATAGATACAAAAATAGAGAACACCTGCGTTCTGTTAGAAAAAATCTGCTTTCATTTCAAATTTACTTGAGTTAGGGGTGAGTAGTGATCTCACCAGGATTGTCAATCATTAATCCTGGATTTGGTTTATCAAATAAGCAAATTGTTTAGTACAAAATAATGGAGACCTGGAAACCCTAAGCAGGAAGAAAAATTACAAAGATAATACCCATGAAGAAACTCCAGATAAACTTGGATAATTTTCCGTGGGAGGAAGATAAACCAATACTAGCTAGTTTGCTCCCCAGGTTCCTGAATTACCCCAGTCAAGTTCATTTCAATGCTGCTAAAACAGTTATGTTAAATATACGCTTGATCTTGGCTTATGGTTTTTTAAGCATGAAAGTGAAAAGCTTCAAGGTTATGTTCATAGTGATTGGACTGAAAGTGTTAATGATTCCAAAAGCATTTTTGGTTATGTTTTTTCATTTGGAAGTGGAGTTTTCCAATGGAACTCCAAGAAACAAGTTGTAACTCAATCCTCAGCTGAAGCTGAGTATGGTTCTGCTGCTGCAGCAGCAGCAAATTAAGCCTTTTGGCTTAGAAATATTCTGACAGACTTGGAATAAGTTCAGGATGAAGCTACTGATATTTTGGTGGACAACCAATCTGTCATTGCAATATCTAAAATTCTAGTTCAGCATGGAAGAACCAAGCATATCAATGTGAAATACCATGTAATCATAGAAGCTGAAAGGCTTGAGGAAATTCGGAGTTGTCTACTGCAACTCTGAAAATCAGATTGCTGAGACATAATGACTAAAGCTCTACCTGAGGTCAGGTTTGAATTTTTGAGAAGAAAGCTTGGAGTATCCAAGAAAATTCTTAAATAGGAATGAAATTCAACTTTAGGTTTAAATTCTTAAGGACTTTAATTTCTGCTATTACTGACTTTTGCTTATGAAAATGGTTGAAAAAATTGACCAGCCTTCAGCAATGATCTGTCCAGCTTTGTTAAATTTTATGTTTCTTATTCTGAAAATTGTTCTATTTAAGGTTGCTAAAGAATCAACTGTGTTCTGATTTCCTATTCTTCTTGAAACTGGTTTTGCCTTTGTTCATTCATTTTCTGTTGTCCGTCTTTTAGTTCATCAGTTCATTTTTCCTCTTTCCATAATTAAATTGTTGACATTCTGCCATGCGGAAAATAACTTTTGCAAGAAGCTGATTATGAGAAAGAGTGGTGCGCTCATGTTGGAAGGGATTCAATGCCTGTTTAAGGTGTTGGGGAGGACTTTGAAAGGTACCACTTCTATACACAACAAATTTCCATTGGAGCTAAAATATTATTTGAACAACCAATAGTACCAAAAAAAGGAAAAAAAAAATTACTATTAGTCTTGGCTTTGGCAACAATAGACATTTCGGTGTCTAGGAATCATAAATGCACTCTTCCACGACTTATTCATAATATTTGTCTGCACAATGCATTGGCTTTTCCTTACTGCAGATGATGGGCTTATAATTCATAGTCGTATATGGACTACAAAAACAGGAAGGGTAGTTCCAGATTTCAGATTATCCTCTTGAGCGATCCTGTCACCGTCTGTGTGGGATGAAGCCGATAAAACAGGGCTGAATTGAAAATAATACCTCTGAGGTCTTTAAGAGCCAGCTGCTGGAGTTGTAGCGTCATTTACTCAGTGGAAAATGACATGTAGGGACTATAGGGAAGAAGTGATTACGCTGATTGGGATATGGAAAATGCTGTCAACTCAAAACCTGCTCGCGAGATTAGCAACTGCTGCTATCTTCTTTGGGAGTTCTACCTCGTCAGCACCTACAAATTTGTCCACCTGCCTTCCATCTTTAAGAAAAAAGAATGTTGGAGTAGCACTGATATCCCATGAAGTGCTGAACTCCTGTATATGGTAAGACGGCATAAGTTATCAAGTTATCCCTTAGGCATTGACTAGCATGGTGACAGTTAAGGGTCCAAAAAAATTTAAGACATGTAAGTTCTTGCATTTCAAGGAAGAAAATGGTGTTTCATATAAAGGAAAGAGTCGTGTGATGCACAAAGTTACTTCTTTAGAGAGTTTTATCAAGATTAAAAAAAAAAAAAAGTGTTTTCACTCACTGCAAGCGCATCGACATCCACAGTTAGAAAAATCAAAGAAGGATATTTATCTGCAAGCTCACAGTAGGTTGGTGCTATTGATCTGCAAGGAGCAGACCATGGTGCACTGAAATTTGCAACAAGCTGTTGGAAAGTAGAAGAAAAAGTCAAATGTAAGAAAATTAGACGGGTATAAAGTGAGAAATTCAAATGGCTCAACGGTAATAGTTGCATGCAATTAAGTACTTTGATGTTTACCATTAACATGTATGTGGCATTGTGATCCTGAAGAAATGAAGCAGACTCAAGCAAAAAGGAAAAGACGCTAGAAAAATCATCATGCACACTGCAAGTTTCATGGCTCAATAAAAGATGGAGAATTTCAAATGGATTCCGTTGACAAAGAACAATCCATTGCAGTTCTATGCAAACCACTGGAGAACTTGCAATGTAGAATCAAGCAAATGGCAAGCAAGTAAGCAAATCTTACATCATCATCAGCACGCTAGAAGCACATGTTCTGAGATGGAAGTATCTATTCATGCAGTGGAATATAAGCCAAGAAGCCTCTTTAAAGATATGCATAAAGGGAAAAAATGAAGACAGTTGATGCATATTAATGATCAATCATTCTGTATCCATCCAATGGTGAAACATAGCACAAAAGCAAATGCATTTTTTTATATCCAGATGTTATTCTCCTTGTATTGTATAATTTAGACATTCTGTATAGACATAGAAATCATGACTTAGAAGTTGCAATTTCTTCTGACAAAGTCTTCATGTTTTCCACCAATGGAAAATGTAAAAGGCATCATAGACTTACTATCTTTCCATCCCTGGTTGACTCTGTTAGTTTTACTTCCCAGCTCTGTATGGTAGTTATATAGTGAACATTTCTGCCGGCAAGTTCCACACTCCGTGGTTGATGATCCTTAACGCCTAGATTACGGCATTTGAAGAACTGCAAGAACTGTGTACCAGAAGTGATTTAACAAGGATTCTGATACACCATTTTTACTATCAACAATCATTTAACTCTGAGGCATGATTTAAAAATTAAAAGGCTTTAACTGAAATCAGATGTAAATATTACTTAAGAACTGAAACCAAGGAACTTCAGATTAGAAACCAAAAGAACCTGAGACCTAAGAAGTGAGAATACCCTATAGGAGAAAAACTTTTATGGGAGTTGACGTCAACGATGAAATAGTCTTGTTTGCACAAAGAAGCGCATAGGTTAGTACACTATTTGAAAAGCATGCCTTTAAGAAACCAAAGCATTCCTGTCAACTGCAGGCAGTTGTAATGTGGAAATGACAGTCTCCAAGGTATTTGTCAATACACTTTTGCATGCACTTGACAAGATCAATGCTGTTTGGGAACTTGGGATTGTTTTAACATTTGGTTTTGCTGTTGAACTTCTAGTGCACTTTTGCATGCACTTGACAAGATCAATGCTGTTTGGGAACTTGGGATTGCTTTAACATATAAACAAAATGCTTTTGCTGTTGAACTTCTAGAAGTCTCTTGTGCAGTTACTATCATATTTGTTGCTACTTGGCTTTCCAGTGACTTGGAAAGATTTTTATGCGAATCAAGTTTATAAGGTTAACTATTTTATATACCCAGGTCATGTGAAAGGAAAATTAATTAATTAAAACGAACAAATCAAACAAAAAAGGGAAAGAAAGAAGAAATGGGAGAAGGCAACACTCTTTGAAAGGAAACAAAACAGAAGCTTGTTTTGAATGACTCACCTTGGTCCAACGATGTCCCATTTGCCCAACTGACCCCTGTTGATGAAGTTACAGCAGGCCTCTGCAAATATTATAAACTCAGATTGCCTATGACTGGAAAAGAGGAACGCTGCTATGAAAAGAACAATGCTATAGTTCTAATGAATCCTACGTGTAAGAAGGGGAAAAGGAAAAGATTGAATTTTCATCAGTCTTGATTTCAAAGCTCAAAGATCCTCTATCTCTTCATATATTCTGCATTGAAATCCCCTTGAAAAAAGATTCCTCTATCGGTATGCTACCTATCTTTTCCCTTAAAAAAATTTATTTACATTTTCCTCTCTTCCTAGGACATGATTCAGACAAAAATCATCCTGCATTACTGCAAATTTTCTGCAAATTCAATGTGCTACCTTAATAGCCTAATGTAAACGGGAGCTGCTAATCCTTCTCTTTTCAGTTTCATTCTTCAACAGAGATTTAAGGATAGCGAAGGAAGGAAAATAAAATGTTTTGCACGAAATCTTTATAAATATAATACAAACAAAAATTTGCAGCAAAGTTGATTATCATTGTATTAAGAATAATAAATGACCAAAAACTTTTACCTTGGGATCCTTTGGATATGATATTCTTTGCAATCAAAGCATTTTCAATGAAACCCTGTCATGACAGCCCTCCATGCCGCCAAGGGAAAATAGGGGGAAAAAAAAGAAAAAAAATTGGAGGAACGAAAAATAGAAGAACCAAAGGATGTGAACCGAGAATATAGGATTTGAGGTGCCATCTTTTGATGGATTATGTCTATCTCTAACTCCCGAGTCTTTGCCTTTTCATGTTCCATTTTTGACAGAATGAGTTTGTTAGTTATCATTTGTTATAAGGAAATCTTGTAACTAACTACTAAATATGGCATGGAAGTTCAAAAATGTCTATTTTTCTTGATCATAGACATCACTTTTCCATATTAATAAGTTTTTGGTCATATTATCCTGTATTGCAATGATGGAAACATTTATAGTTGATTGAGGATGACACTTTCATCAAAAGATCATAGATTCATGGGTTCAGAGCATTGATTGAAGCTTGTAAGTCAAATCCATGGCAATTTGGAAATAGTTATTCCCCAACAAATGAGGAAAAAAGAAGAAGCTCTCCCAGAAAGACTAGAGAATCGAATATTTGAGTTCCATGAGCAGAAGTTTTGTTGCAAATCAGGGTGTTTGGATGATTGATTCTGCCTCTAAGGATGTCCGGTTCTTGGATTCAGATTGTCGTATGTCCTCTATCATTCTAACGGTTTCATCCATTTTTGGACGCTTTTCTGGTGTTTTCGCCACGCATGCTAGCGCAATCTGAAGCATCCGTAACATTTCCTCTTGGAAATGTTGGAATCTCAACAGCTCCACATCAAAGACTTCAGCTGTCCATTCCTCCCTCACAATAGAACGGACCCATCTCGGAAGATCGACCACACCATCATGTCCTGAAGGCTGGAGGGGAGCTTTCGCAGTCAGCATTTCCAGGAGGAGCACACCAAAGCTGTAAACATCAGACTTTTGATTTACTTTGCGTGTTTCAATCACCTCTGGAGCACGGTATCCAACGATACGAGACATGGTTACAGGTGCATTCATCAGAGGAGCCAAGCCAACATCAGAGACACAAGCCTCAAGTTCATCGCTGAGGAGGACATTCAAGGACTTGATGTTGCCATGGGTGCATTTACCACCATCCTCGGTATGAACGTGCGCAATTCCTCTAGCGGTTCCCAGGGCAATCTTCATTCTTGAATCCCAGTCCAGTGGAGTTCTCCCTGTACTCCTGTTTCCTGTCATTGTTGGAAACAGATAAATAAAGGGGAAAAAAAAACAAATTTAGCATCTTATAGTCAGATAAGTAAGTCCTAATTGTTGAATTTGCATCTTATAATCGCCAGGAAATTTTTAAAGAACGAAATCGAAAATTATACGGAGTCAGAGCTGCATACCATGTCAGAGATGAGGGTGCTCAACTGGTTCTGCTTATGGATGTCAACATTACTTACAAATATTAATTACATGTTCAACCACTGATCCTGTGAGGTGATCTAGTACGTTTTTCTTTTGGCACCGGAGTGAGTAACTTTATTCAAGAATTATGGCGGCCAACTGAACAATGTATTACTAAAAATCTTTAGATTTCTCACTAAATCAAATCAATTTTACTATGAAACTAAGTGGGGCATTTCATTTTCTTCCGCAACAGTTAGGGCTTCAATGATTATTTTAACCAAAATTTGCCCTGGTCAAAGCGTAATCGTCTGTTTCAGACTGCAAGAATAGAAAAGCAGAAAACAAACTATATTTTTCTTCTACTTTGCAAACTAATAGGGCCAACATGATGCTAATGGAGATTGGAGAATGATGTTGAGATAAGCATACCATGCAGGAGCGAGAACAAGCTACCGGCTGGCATGTAGTTGTAAACTAACAGCTTCTCATCCTTTGAATAGTAATAGGCACGAAGTCGCACAACATTTGGATGTCGTCCAACCCTCCCAAGAACTTCCATTTGCTGGTCAAATTCCCTTTTCCCAACTGCAACTTCCTTCAATCTTTTCACTACCACTTGTGTCCCCTCCTCCAATGCAGCTTTATATGTCGTTCCATAACTCCCCTTGCCAAGAACTTCAGCTGAAGCCTTCAACAAATCCTCAAGATCAAAGTTGTAAGAACATCCTTCAAAAAAGAACAATTTGTTCTTTTCAGCTTCCTGTACTCCACTTCCAAAATCATTAGGCTTCTCACTCTTTCCAGCTGCAGAGATTTTTCTGTTCAGCAAGCCACTGCCCCCACTTTCTGTCCTCTTCAAACAGCGTATAAAGATCACTACTAGCAGTAGAAGCAGAAATGCTAAGCCCCCAATTACTATTGCAATGATGGCGCCAGCACCTAGTTTGTTTTTTGAAGTAGCATGTCGACTTTGAGAAACTGTTGGTGGGCTTGGAAAGTAAGAGGGAAAAGGAGAAGGTGAAGAGGAGACTGTGGAGCAAAGCTTTACAGGCGAACCACATAACAACGGATTCCCAAAAAATGAAGAAGAAGGAAATCTTTGGAGGGAATTTGGAATAGATCCACTCAAGTTATTATAGCTGAAATTTAAAACTTGGAGACTTGGGAGATTGAGATTGGGAATGGCTCCGGATATGGAGTTGTTCTGGAGGTTCAGAATTTTGAGCCGTGTGAGACTCTGAATTGTAGTTGGAATGGTTCCAGTGAATGAATTGTAGGAGAAATCTAGTACACTCAACCGGGGGGAAAGAGAGGTGGGGAAGACACTAGAGAAGTTGTTGTGTTGGAGGAATAGGCAACGGAGGGAAGGAATGGAGGGGATATCAGAAGGAAGATTTCCATTGAGGTTGTTGGATCGAAGGCTGAGGATCGTGAGAGCATTAAGCTTTCCTATGGTATTGATCGGAATGGGGCCAGAAAGTCCAATACCTGGGAGATGGATGGCAATAACACCGGATTTTTTTAAATTGCAAGTTATGCCAACCCAAGACGTGCAAACTGGGATAGTTGCATTCCAGTTCAGTTTTCGAGCATGTTGGACAGCAGCAGCAAAGTCAAGGAGGGCTTGACTGTCAGAATTCAGGTCCGCCACAACCTCAGGAAATTTATGCAGAGACAATAGAAGGAAAAGCAAGGAAATGAAGGGCTGGAACTTCATGGAGATTTGTTCAGTACGAAGATTAGGCAATAACGCCTGTCAGACTTGAGTAGTTTCTGCTGCCTTCCTGATTCAGCTATAGAAAACGATGCAACATAGTGAGCTGAACACGTATCAGGGAAGCAGAGATCATAAACTATGCAGTCCTGTCAACTTAAAGGTGGTAAAGCAAATTATGCAGTCATTATTTGACAGTGTTAGCATATTAAGTGGGCCCAAATTTAAAAAAATTTACAAGCATTTACAAGTTTAAAAGACATCAAAGAAGAGGTCTGTCATATTCAAAAGCAAATTGGTAGGAAAAGAATCCAAGGAAAAAAGAAAACATCATCATAAAGAAAAAAGGAAAAGTTGCATTATTCTTTGTTCAGTAAAGAGAAGACCTTGTTACATGAAAAGTAATCTCTTAAACATCCAGCAATATAGGTGTCACCAACTCATGCTGTATCCTTGACTGTTGAATGTAGGCTAAGGGCTAAGGAGCAAATTTCTGGTGGGGAGCACAAATCAATTAGAAATGGGACAAGGAAGCTCACTGGGAAAGAACTCTAACACATTGGAAGCTACACTAATTGTTGTATAATAATTGACAATGCTTTAGCTGTTAATACCCTTTTCATGTACGTGGTAAAAAAAAAACAACTATGCAGGACATTTTTCAGTGGTTTAATACTTTGACTCTATCTCCAAGGGCAAAATAATATTTAGAACAAAGAGTCCTTGGAAAATAAGTATCAAACTGTCACATAGCTTGATCTGAATATGAATCATACCTCTAATCTCTGCAATTTACCTGAACAATGATTACCACTTTTGGAGTAGTAAGCCTAAGATCACTTACCTCATTCCCCTACCGAATATGAAATCTTTTTTTTTCATGAATTATGTGTTGGAAGAAAGTTGGAGGTCTGAAATCTCTAGAAGGATTTTTCCTGAGAAGCATCATGTTCTCTCTAGCGTGCAAAAATTTGAGAATTTACCTCTGAAATTTTGAATCTCATATCGAACATAAAATGAAGGTTATTGGAGTATAAAAAAGTTCACATCACCTCTCCCTTGTGAGGCGTATTTTGTAACACAAACCCGTGAGCCCAAGAGATTAGAGCGGACAATACCTCATAAGGATGTGAACTGTGGCAGATAGGCTGATTTGGGACACCGAATGAGTGGATGTCCGGGTTTCGAAACCGTGCGGGTTTGAAGCTTAAGTCTTGACCCATGACAAGTGGTATCAAAGCCAGCCCTATACCGTTCGATTCATGCCAAGCACCTCGAGGGAAGTAGGCAGGATGACTAGCCTCCCGGAGCCGTGCGGGTTTGGAGCTTAAGTCTCGACCCATGACAAGTGGTATCAGAGCCAACCTTATACCGTTCGATCTATGCCAAGCACCTCGAGGGAGGTAAGCAAGGTGGCCAGCCTCCGTGACGAGGACATCATGAGGTTGGGTAGGGAAGAATGTCACAAACCTAAATAGGAGTTTTGAATCCCACATCGAACATAAAAAGAGGATTCAGCCATATACCGTTCGATCCATGCCAAGCACCTCGAGAGAGATAGGCAGGGTGGCCAGCCTCCGTGATGTCCCCTTATACCGTTCGATTCATGCCAAGCACCTCGAGAGAAGTAGGCAGGATGGCCAGCCTCCATGACGAAGATGTCACGAGGTTGGGTAGGGAAGAATATCATGAACCTAAAGAGAAGTTTTGAATCCCACATCGAACATAAAAAGAGGGTCACTAGGGTATAAAAGAGTTCACACCACTTCTCTCTTGTGAGGTTGGGTAGGAGGAGTTCTAAATCCCACATCGAACATAAAATGAGGGTCACTAAGGTATAAAAAGGTTCACACCACCTCTCTCTTGAAAGGTTGGATAGGAAAAAATATCACGGATCTAAAGAGGAGTTCTGAATCCCACATTGAACATAAAATGAGGGTCATTGGGGTATAAAAGGGTTCGAACCACCTCTCTCTTGTGAGGTTGGGTAGGAAAAAATGTCACGGTTCACACCACCTCTCTTTTGTGAGGTTAGGTAGGGAAGTTCTGAATCCCACATTGAACATAAAAGGAGGGTCACTGTGATTTAAAAGAGTTCGAACCACCTCTCTTGTGAGGTTGGGTAGGAAAAAATGTCACGGGTCACTGAGGTGGATCACTGAGGTATAAAAGGGCTCACACTATCTTTCTCTTGTGAGGTTGGATAGGAAAAAATATCACGGACCTAAAGAGAAGGTATAAAAAGGTTCACACCACCTCTCTTTTGTGAGGTTCGGTAGAGGAGTTTTGAATCCTATATTGAACATAAAAAGAGGGTTACTGGGGTATAAAAGGGTTCACACCACCTCTCTCTTGTGAGGTTAGGTAGGAAAGCCTGGAAACTCCAGGAACAGAAGTAGTAAGATTTATTCTCATAATAAAATAAAGTGAAATATGTCAATTTTTTTTTAATAAAAAAAACTTTCGACAGCAAGTTGATCGGTACTATGGTACTAATTGAACCGAAGATACACGAATTGATACCGGTGTTGTAGAACATATAATTTTTGAGCTTAAATACCATATGATTGGGTATCATATGAGCAGGTTCGAAAAAACCCTTGTATAGCTTCTTCGATTTCTCGATAAAGAGAAATATGACCAACAGTTGTTTGAATGTATATACAAAAAACTCTCTCTTGTGAGGCGGGAGGTATAAAAGGGTTCACACCACTTCTTTCTTGCGAGATTGGGTAGGAAAAAATATCACGAACCTAAAGAGAAGTTTTGAATCCCACATCGAACATAAAAGGAGGGTCACTATGATATAAAAGTGTTTACATCACCTCTCAAATAAGTCGCCTAAAATTGTGAGTCCAAAGGACCAGAGAGAGTGTGAATCGTGATAGATAGGCTCATCTGAGATATCAGATAAGTGAATATCCGAATCTCAAAATCGCACAAATTCGAAGCTTAAGCATCGACCCTTGAGATTAACAATTTATGTCATATATTAAAGTCCCAACGTTGATAGCAGGATTTAGCAGGTAGCAGCATCAAATCCAAGTTAGCTGCGGTGTCTATTACTAGCTTTTGATCTGATGGCCTGGTTGGTAGAACTAACTTGTAATGATGGAGAGCAAACTCATTAAAACTTGAACGAAAAGAGGTTTTGCTTAGTGAAATAGGGATCAGCTAGCTTTGTAGTTGCATAGGCACCAGGCTTAACTAAATTTCATCCCTTGACTTCCCCTCTTTTTTCGTTGGTGCTGTAGGCAGAATCCAGTAAAAAGGTGAAGAGTTTCAACGCCATTACACTGGACCACTACTCCCAGAAGATGTGGTTTCCTTCTCACTGCATCTTTTACATGTACAAAAGCTAAAGTGATTTTTTTTAATTTTATTTTGATGGATCTAAAGTGAACCAATCATGCAGATTTAACCATTACATTTAAATTTGAAATATAAATGTTTGGTATTCCATTTCTGTCTGTTAACCATTCTTCATAATGGTCCAAGTACATTATCATGAATTTGAATCATCTTCAAAAAGATATAATGAATTAAAAACACACAGAATTTATTATAAATAATAAGGCCTTAGACCTTAATTTAACTTGATAATCAACAACAATGCTAATAATTATCTTTGGCATGAAGGAGACACTGCTTGAACTCACGTGGTAGGGTCCTTTCGATTTCCATTTTGTCTTTAAGTTGGAAGTTGTTAGAAATAGCTTCGGCCTTAGAAAGAGCATTGTTTTGTATAAGCACTGAGCAAAGCTTGGCAGCTTGCTTGTAGGGGCACTTGGATGTAAACACCAGCTCTTTCTGGTTAGGAGTCATTTTCCAACTTCATTACCTTTAAGTGAGAGTAATAAACAGGGTAGGTCCAGATTCCTGAGGAATTGAAGAACTATTCAAATTTAAGACTAAATTGACTGAACCCCAAAATAGGGTCAATTGACGGCAAAGGTTAGTTGGCTGTTAGCATTCGGCTATTAATTTAGCATCTTACCGTAACATCAAAATCATCATCCTAGGCCGCTGCGAGAATTTCTGATTGATTGCTTTAGTTTCTGTGTTAGGAAAGGATGCACCGTTAGTTCAATAGGCAGGCAGGTTCCCATTCCAGGGATGCGGTTATAACTTATAACAAACATTGTTGGATCTCATGAGATAAACACCAAAATCTGTAATCACTCAAAGACAATTAAAGGAACAATTTGAAGTAAAAATGCTTTAGGACAGTCAATGGGAATTAGTTGAGTTAATAAAATTTAAATACTTTACTCATAAGACATTTTAAACTTGATTATTAACAATCTCTTTTAATGAATGATCTATCAATTTAATATATATATTTTTTGAGACCTACGGTTTACTTTGTCTCTATATCTTAGAAATCTCCTCTCACCTTAAAGTTTTTGTCAAAAAAAATGCTTTAGGACCGAAATAACATCCTCACCACTCTTGACAAGTTTCAAGTTTAGGCCTGGTTTATACCTGCATTAGCAAAACTCGCCTAGCTTTACCAGCTTAAGGAAAGAGAATAAGGTTATTCCATCCAGGGTAGTAGTGCATGCATAAAAACAATGCACTAACACTGGCACATCATGTGTACGAAATGATAATTGACGCCCTTATAGCCCTCTGTCTCTCGGCTCAGTAAATTGACAAAGTTAAGCCGGCATTTGGATTTCATAGGCAGATTTGAGTTGCAGCAATTGCCAGGGATGGTGAAAGGAATTGGCCGCATGTATAGTCTAATTACCTTTGTCGAAATTCAGACAACTGTTTGTGGATTATATATCCTTTTGCAGAGGAGAACGGTGTCATTACATGGCCCCATCAAATTCAAACTACATGCAGGATAGCTGACACCTACTAAGTGTATCAGGCACAAGCTAAATAAGGTGGACAGACAAAGATCAATCCGGTTCCAACAACATATGGTATATCCGATGCATGCTATGATAGATTGGCTATCTCAAACAAGTTGCCAACATTGAATAGATTGCAAAATTGGGTTTGTCAATGCCAAAAGCAACCTGTTTTCTCAGTGGCAATAATGATGAAAGCAGAGATCACTTCTTTTACTTGCCCTTTTTGTGAGGTTTGGAGTAGTACTTTGCAGAATTCATAAGTTCAGAAAACAGCTGGACACGAGGACTTTGAATTCCATTGGGCCGAACACTCCCTGGGGGGCAAAGCTTTTGCAGTCCTGGTGCTGAAATTCGCTTGGAGAGAAAGAAACAATACAAAGCATGGTAACCCTCCAAATAAAACTAATCGTTGCCTGCATATGCAATAGCCTCAATACAAAAATCCATTCAGAGCTGCCTGTTCAAGGAGTCACCGGAGGAAAAGGCATGATAACAGAGCATCATAAAAGACGGAAATAAAGTTTCTCAACATGGTAAAATGAATAATAGAAATGGCAAAAACTATATGTCATGTTATGCACAGTACTTCAATTGTGTAAGATTTATTTGCTTCAACAGGGCCACTTCAATTGTGTAAGATTTATTTGTTTCAATAGGGCCGTTTGACTACAAGACGGTTAAAATATGAGGAAAACAATGGCCACAAGCAATATAATGCGGGGAACTCCTCATCAACTCAATTTATCTGGCATTGTCAAGGCCTCAAGCAAACTTTCAGAAACTTCAGTAATCGAAAAAAAGAAGGGGCAAGAACAAAATCTAGCTAGCAATCATTGATTGCCACCTTTTTCAAGCTTTTCAATTTCTTCACGGCGCTTTCTTTCAGCCTCTTGAAGTTCTCGCTCAGCATCCTTCTCTTCCTCAACTTGATCAAGATCATCAAATTCCTTGGTTGCAGCCATTGCTTTCACTACAGGATCTCTCAGCTCATTTATTAATCCACCACCAACCTTGTACTCCTTTTCATCACCAATCAGGAATAGCCGCTGATCAGGTCCTGATGCCATGGGAATGTCTACTGCTAATAGTTTCATATCATACTGCATAAAAATAACAAATGTTAAGATATATAGGAACATACCGCCAGTACTTCTACAATGTATGTAGATTACGTATTCTTCCCTTTTATACCTGTTCTTTTTTTCCCTTTTTTAGGTGGGGGGATGTTTTAGGTTACGTGCCAGAAGAGAGCGAAGGGGAGACAGGAAACTATAACAGAAAGATTTCATATGTTTCCAAGGGATAGTACGAGGAAAGGTGTCCATTAGACATCAAATATTTCATTTACTTAAAAGAATGGCGGAGAGAAACCATTTCATCAGCTCCCTCTCTATCATTCATCCAAAGAAAAGATAAGAGATCCCCCATAATTATCTACAGAAACATCTGGGTTTAAATATTTGGGAGACATACAAAAAGATGCTCTCCATTAGATTTAGGACTTTGAATTCTATTTCCAAGGGGCTTTCCCTCTTCTCTCATCCAAAGGATAAGACCACAGATATCCCATATAGATACCTTATCGATGAAATATTTGAGAATGAGGCATGTGAAAAATAGCTTGATACTTTCAGTTTTGAGTTCTAAGTAATGCTAATATGGAGCAAAATATACTGGATTTAGTGAATATTCAATTTGAACTCTCGAAACTGAAAAATTGACTACAAGAGGAAGAAACATAATAATAACTGCCCAAACATAGCGAACAGATAATTAAATTATTTTAGGGTATAAATTGGCTTGACCTTCAAGGAAAATTCACAAGTAAGGTCGCATGCTCAAAATGTCGTACTAGCTCAAAAATTGAAGTTTTGCTATCTCATTGTTGGATAACCAAAGAAGATGCTTTCCCTATTATATGATGGGTTAATTGAAAAAGGTAAATTACACTTTAATCAGTTAACATCAAACAGCTTTGATATCTACACTTAACAGTTAACACACTGCAGTTATAGAGAGAAGAGCTTAACAATCGAATTTTAAAGAAATGACAAAATAACACCCACAAGTATATGACTTAGATAAAAATCCTAACCATGACTTGTTTAATATTTTCATACTTCTTGAAGGTAAAAAAAAGGATAGTACTGTCATTTTAAAAAAAAGTAATAATGCTGCAAACTATTTAGTTTATGCATCATCTCTCGGACCAAAGGAAAGGGAAGCAAACCTTGCCCTTTTTCTTCTTGACTTCAACACTCACTAAACCCTTTCTCTCAGAACCTTGGATAGGGAAGATAAGAAAGCATCGCTTGCTCCTAAGCCTTGGCTTGAAGTTCTTCAGCGTGACTCCATCTCCAGACATCACATAAGCTCTTAAATCTGTTCCAGTAAGAGGTGCACCCATAACCTCAAGAATCCCAGCAGCTGTATTAAGCCTTCTCATGGCCATTCTATAAACTTTGTCAGGATTTATTCTTAATCTTGAGTAAATATACAAGCCCTGAAGATAAAAAAATAAGCATGAAGCAGAAAGAGGTAAGATGGCATCATTCTACAATAAAATGCCAGAATCATCAATCCACGCAACAAGCAAAATAATCATATTTATTAATTGTACCCCTAAACATGGACATTAAGAAGAAGCAATGTTCAGTTTTACTGGAGTATAGAAACGCATTAGTCTACAAAGAAAAGTAAAAGGCTTTTATTATTTTATTATTTATTTATTTATTGAAGGACCAAACGTATTCAATAAGATGACAGCCAATAAATTAAGGTCAGCTCAATGGCTAAATTTTCATGATATTTTGTCGTTCATGAGCATTAATTCTGTAAGTGCAGATTGATGCTATTCTTTCTAATTTTCAATACAATGAAACTGTAACTCCAAATCCAGAGTATCTCATCAGAAGTCGTAAAACTCTTCTTAGAATAAATCAAAAGTAAATCAATTACGCAAACTTATTAAATTACAGTTCGTATAAACAAAGTTTATACGCATTCAGGGATGAATGTATGAACAACTCAATTAGCAACATTTACTAAGTCTATGCAGAAATATCTAATTGTGGTGTCAATGATTCAACCACAATCAATCCCAAAACCAAAAGTTAATGGGGTCACTTCTTGTATGAGTAAAGCAGTTAAAAGCCAATGCGGACAAGGCGAGAAATAACAACTTACAGCAAAAGAAACAATTGCAGCGGAAAGGGCAAGAAAGCCATACTTTGCCATTCCTTCAGAGAGGCCAACAAAAGTGTCAGCAATACCGAACATAATCCTCCAGAGCAAAGCACAGAGCAAAACTCCACCAACACCAAACAGAAACAAGTAATTCCTCTTGAAAAAGGCATCAAAATGTAAGCCAATAGCCTCACGGTACCTCGACAAAGTGGAAGTAAAGGTATTAGCCGGGCTTTGGAAGACGTTTTTGGTGAAATTTGCATTGAATTTTTTACCAGAATTAGAGGTTTTGAAGGAAAAGAACCTCAACCCAGAAGAGGAAAAGGGGTTGGGTTTAGCAACGTAAAGGTTTCTCAAAGGGGTAGCCAGAGTCTGGTGGTGAGCAAAGCGAAACTGAAATTGGGAAAGACCAGCAATTGGGCAAGAGGGATTTGAAGGGAGTTGGTGGAAAACATTAGCAGAGGAAGAAGAAGGTATGCCAAAGTGGTTGACTTGATGACGATTGAAATGATGTTTGAGGAAAGCAGCGACAAGTCTTGAAGAAGAAGAAGATGATGATGACGACTTCCACATTTTCAGGTTCAGACTTTTAGATTCACAGGATACACAAACTCACAAATATCAAAAGAAAGCTTACTTGACAAATTCAATTATCAAAAACTGGAAATTGGAGACACACATTCCTATCAAAAATTAATAGAAGAAAAGAGGTGACACGGAAACGGTGGAAGAAGAATCATCTCCCTCTGGTTTTTCTTATGTTTACTCACTTTCCTCCATTTGATATTCGTTCGGTTTGCTTTCTCCGTCGACAAGTTAACTCGGGCCGGATTCGAATGCCTTTTTAGTGTTTCGGGTCGGTTTTTCCATCGTTTACAGTCTGATTTTTTACTACATTTTGTGGTAATAGTGATTTACTACATTTTCAGATTGTGATGTGAACAACAAATTCAGTATCAAATTTTATTCAGATTTCTTACACTAAAAGAGCTTCAACCATTTGACATTTCAACTCATTTTTTTGAAGCATGATTGAATCACTAAAGCTTGCCCAGTCAATTCAACATTAGATCACACGCACTGCATAAAACAATTACGTGAACAATTGGTAGAGACAGGGCAAATTGCATTGGACAGAAAAACAATAAAACAATTGGTAGGCTTCTCAAGGAAACAAAACGGAAATTGGAAATAATAATAATAAACTGCAATTCCATAACAAACTCAGTGCCATAGTGTGAATAACAATCCACAAAAACCAAATATTCTGAACCAGAACAAGGTCTGTTCAACCATGAGGAAAAGATACACAACCAACTACAATAATAAGCTAAAAATGAGTCCAACAAGAGCTTTATGAGAGCACTTCAAAATTTTCTAGATAGCCAAGAGTCTAAGTTGATGCATCTAGAAAAGCTCTTCCAGGTTGACGTGCAGCCAAAGGTCCATGACATCCAAGAAGCTGCCCATTATAAATCAGAAGTGCCACTTTAGAAAATCAATAACCATGGAGGAACAAATCCACTTGTAAGTTTGATCATAAGCAAATAGCATTTTGGTGTTTAGTACAGACAATAGTAACAAAGGCGGGTTTATAAAATAAAAAATAAATAAATAAAGGGAGAAAATATTCAGCTCCAAAGGAGCGAAGGAATATATTGCTAAAATACATGCATAATTTACTCTACTTTGCGTCTTAGGAGCTACAAATAGCTATAACATATTAAATGCACAGATATAAGGTACCAAATTCTTGGTAAAAACATTGTTTTTAAAAGAGATAATATTCCACCATATCTTAAGTATTACTACCTTTGCATTGACACCATCTGGCACAATCCTGTTCTCAGACTTCCACTTCAGATAATCAGCACGGCTGAACTTGGTAAATCCCCTGAAAATGACAATTATAAAAATATCAAATGATCGTAAACCATATTACAACAACACAAGTGACTTGATACTGTGCATTTGCACAGAACATATATTAGAAAAAAGCAAATTTTAGAGCAAACATCAGACCTTCTGTTTCCTGATAAAAATTGATGCTCTTACAAGGTTGTCAAAGGATTTGTAAGAAAAGAGATTAATGATTCCTATTATCTAGTATACACTCAGGAGTTCCAAAATTTAATGTCTAAGAAACAAAAAAATGCATACCACTTCCTGCTAACAATAATCTTTTGACGACCTGGAAACTTGAACTTTGCACGGCGGAGGGCCTCCTGTGCATGATGACTGTTGCTGTCCTTACAACGAACAGAAAGCAGGACCTGACCAATGTTGACCCTTGCACATGTTCCTTGAGGTTTCCCAAAAGCACCCCTCATTCCAGTCTGAAGCCTATCAGCACCAGCACATGAAAGCATCTTGTTGATCCGCAGAACATGGAAGGGATGAACCCTCACTCTCAAATGGAAAGCATCCTTCCCAGCAAATTTGGCCATATACTTGTTGCAGGCAATTCGAGCAGCCTCCAATGCCTCACTTGAGACATTCTCTTTCTCCCAACTGACAAGATGGACACAGAAAGGAAACTCATCAACACCTTTTTTTTTCATACCAACATCATAAATTCTGATCTTAGAATCCGGGACACCACGGCAGTATCGAGATTTTGGGTATGGCTTGTTCTTGATTTGCCGATAACACCTTGCAGGTCCTATGAGAGGAAATTTAAAAACCAGCATGAATATGACACTCAAAAGTCAATACAATACCAACAGCTTCTTAGGGAATGCGTGTTAGAACCATGAAATGATACGAATCTGTAAAAAAGAGAAGTTTCTAGAAACCCTAACATTTTTTAGGGTATGCAAGAAGAGAAATATAATTAAATTTTCAATATATTATATTTTAGAAATTTAGTTTAACCCTCCCTTGCAAACGAATCCATAATGCTTTATAGATTCCATAAATACAGCAGAGCAGTAGGCCATAGAAGATGATCCCCAGCACACACTCCCAACGATTTTTAGCAGTATTCAGGCAATAACTCAATCCGACACAGAAAAATGGAACCTTATATGATAGAAATAACCGATACATGATTACAAAAGTAAAGATATACGGATTGTTGCTTGGTGCAACAAACTCAAATAACTCAAAACCATAATTCTATGTTGCACTTAATTCCAATTCACAGGTGGTCAAACTCTAAGGTTCAAGGCCAAGTTTTTCCTATCATGGAGAAGTTTTGTTAAGTCGATATTAACAGTTTCTTTTTAACATGGCAATCCAGAAATGGACATCATGGCTGTGGTGACACTGACAGCATATGAATAATATCCACAAAAAAGAGTGAAATGTTGGATTTTGAAAAGCAGATTTAACCGATTTAATGGGCAAACCTAAAATATTTCCCAAAAAGAATAAGGCTTTCATTTTAGTTGAGAATAAGCATTCAACGATATTCAAGAATACTAAAGCTAGTTCATCACTAAAAACACAATTAACGTAAGAATGTTTATTGCAGTACAGATTTCACAAACCGATTATAATAGCAAGCAAAAAAAGGAAGAAAGGAACGAAGGAACTCACTCCTCCCCATGTCGTCGTCGGCGACCTGATGAGATTTGAAATTTGAGAGAGGAAAGCACCCAAAAACGAAAACCCTAGTTTAGTTTTGTTGATTTCAAGTTCAACAACCACTCGTGTCATGGGCCCAATATTAAATATAGCAAACTTTTACCCATTCACTCAAGGCAAGGCAAGCCGAGCAGGCCAAATCCAGTTTCAAATTGTCTGTGACGGCCTCGGTGTGGACTTTTCATATCATTGAAAAGTTCTCTTTTTTTTTTTTTTTTTATCATAGAAACCCTTTTTTACCTAGATTTTATTATAGAACTTTTGCTGCCTTTCGTTTGTTTATTTTTTCCCTCAAATCTCAATAATTTAATTGGTTAAAAAAATCTCAATAATTTACAAAAATATAGAAAACAAAAGTTTATGTTTGATAGATGTTGGTGTAAGATATGAATTAGAGTCACAGAAACTTAAAATCATAAGTATGAGGTTAATTAGGAGCAAAGGTTAGAGTTGTCTTTAACATTTGAGTCTCGATGTTGAACTCAATAAATAAAGGAGGAGAAAAACAGGAAAAAGAGCAAATTAAGAATGAGATATTTGAAATAGAATGAGTAGTCTCTTTATTTAGGGAATATTTATACTTGAAGGATTGGTGACCTATCATGTTGATATTTGTAATGTATGCTTTGAGAAATCAAGTCAATTTGCCATATAAACTCAATATGCCATGTCAACTTGAATCAAATGACCAAAATAGCTTTAATCCAACTATAAGTTATTCTTTGATGATAAAAGATAATTATACCTTTTGTGACCATAAAATGTCCCTAACAATTTATCCCCTAACAAATAATTTGAAAGTTCAGATAAGGGTTAGGCTAAGGTGTCCCACTTACTTTGAATTTAATCGTTCTGATGAACTTTAAACTTACATTTAAGTTGAGACTTTAAGTGTTAGTTTTGTTGTTAAACTTTTTAGTAACACAAACGGTCTAAAGTTCCAACATGATTGGATGTTATTTTACTATTCATCTTACATGAATGACTAGGGAAAACTCGCCTCGAACCCGACCCGACTTTATGCTTTAGCATACCCGAACTCAATCCTACCCGATTTTTTTTATACTCGATCCTGATACTATGTAAATCGTATCCGATCCGATCCGAAATTAATAAAATATTATTTTTTAAAATATAAAATATTATTTTTTAAATATAAATATTTAAAAATATCATTAAATAAATAATTAATTAATTAAAAAAATAATTTTTTATATAATGTCGGGTCTGGTCGGGTTTTAGGCATAGTCGAACCCGATCTGACCCCGATTATTCCATAACTATACCCGACCCGACCCGACCAAAAAATCGAAATTAAAAAAAAAAACCCGATCCCATAAGGTCGGGTCGGCCGAAACCCGTCGGGGACGGGGTTGATTGCCGTCCCTATGAATGACTATTAGGATTTCAATAAGTTTGGCTTTGTTTGCTTAATGCTTAACTCTAGCTTAGGTCAATGGTTAGCCAACCTAGGAGCTTTTAGGTTATCTAAGTTAGTTATCCAATAATCTATTCGAAATGGCACTTGATATTTTTTATAGTGAGATTTTAAATTCATTTGTATCAAGTTGAATCTATATTAAAAGGATTTACACCAAGGTGAATTTGTGCTGAAGTGATTTACACCAAGGTGAATTATACCAATGTGATTTACATCAAGATGAATTTATGCCGAAATAATTTACACTAAAGTGAATTTATGCCGAAGTGATTTATATCGAAGTGAATTTGTACCGTGATAATTTACACCAAGGTAACCTATACCATAGTGATTTACACTTAAGTAAAATATGTGTCGAGATAATTTACACTAAAATGAATTTGTACCAAGGTATTATCTTTAACCATTGTCGTTCGAGCTCTTTTCTTAAGGTTTTCTTTAAGCTTTATGTATTACTAGCTTTCATTTTTTTAAAACAAATGTTGGTATTTTATAGAGTTTCATTTAATGTAGATTAATATTATTGACATATTTCACATTGCTTATTCTGAGGTAAGTTGATATTGCTAGCACCACCTGCCTTAACACTTTTTGTTTTTCTCCGAGATTAATTGAAATCTGAGGTGAATTCTCACCATAAGTTATTCATACTTGAGCTTATTATTACCTCTTTTCTTTATGCTGAAGTTGATTAAACCAAGATAATTTATATTAAGGTGTATTTATATTGAGATAACTTATATCAAGGTGAATTTATGTTTAGGTGGATTATGTCAAACTGAGCCTTATTAAAGGAAAATTTTGTTAAGTTGAGCTCTTTTGGAGATATTTTTTGTTATAAGCTATTTTGAAGGTAAATTTATTAAGCCGAGCCTTTATAAAGCAATTTCGTTGAAATGAACATTTTTACTGAGATAAGCTTTTATTAAGGTAAATTTGTTGAGTCAAGCTCTTTGTTAAACTGAGTTTTTATTAAAAAAATTTGATCAAGTTAGACCTTTATAAAGGTAATTTGTCAAATTAAACTTTTATTAAGGCATTTTGATCAAGCTAATCTTATATTAAAAAATTTTGGCCAAGCTGATTATTTATGAAAAAATTGTCAAGTTAGGCCTTTATGAAGGTATTTTAGCCAAACTGATTTTTATGAAAGAAATTTGATCAAGCTGAAATTTTTTAAAAGTATGTTGGCTAAGTTGATTTTTTATAAAAAAATTTAACCAAGTTAAATCTTGATGAAGATAATTTGTTGAATTGATCCTTAAGAAAGAAATTTAGCCAAATTGATCCTTTATTAAAGAAATTTGATCGGGTTGAGCTTTTATGAAGATATTTTGGTCAACTTAACCTTTATGAAAGAAATTTGGTTGAGATAAGCTTTTTTGCTAAGCTAAGCATTTATGAAGGCATTTTATCAAACAAAGCATTTATGAAGGTATTTTTTCAAGTTGAGTTTTTTTTGTTATGCTAGGTTATTATAAAAGTAATTTATCGAACTGAGCTTTTTTTTCAAACCTAGCTTTTATGAAGATAATTTGTCAAGCTAAGCATGTTTGCTGAGTTAGGTTTTTATTAAGATAATTTATCAATATGAGCTCTTTTTTCAAGCTAGATCTTTATAAGGCAATTTATTAAAATGAACTCTTTTGTCAAGCTAACTTTTATAAAAATAATTTGTCAAGATGAATTTTTTGTTGAAATAAGCCTTTATAAAAATAATTTTTCTATATAAGCTATTGTGTCAAACTAGATCTTTATGAAGATAATTTGTTAAGCTAAACTTTTTTGCTAAAATAGATTTTTTTTAAGATAATTTATCAAATCGAGCTCTTTTACCGAGATGAACCTTTTTTAATGTAATTTATTAAGGTGAACTCTTTTGTTGAGGTGGACAAGCTAAGCTTTTATAAAAGCAATTTATCGAGCTGAGCTTTTTTACCAAGCTAAACCTTTATGAAATCAATTTATCAAGCTAAACTTTTTTGTTGAAATGAACTTTTCTTAAGGTAAGTTGTCGAGTGTAACTCTTTTATAGAGGTGACAGTCAAGTTTTATAAGGATAATTTATTGAAATGAGCTTTTTTGTCAAGTTAGACATTTATAAAAGTAAATTTTTTAACTGAGCTTTTTTGTCAATGTAAGAATTTCTTAAGGTAATTTATCGAGCTGAGCTTTTTTGTCAAAGTGGCTAAACTAAGCTTTTATTAAGATAATTTGTGAAGATGAGTTTTTTTTGTGAACTGGACCTTTATAAAAATAATTTGTCAGGCTGAGTTCTTTTGTCGAGGTGGTTAAAATGAGCCTTTATAAAGGCAATTTGTTAGGCTAAGTTTTTTTATCAAGCTAGATTTTTATAAAAGAAATTTGTCAAGCTGAGTACTTTTATCGAGCTCTTTTATAGAGCTTATCCACTTTTGCGCTTCATATATTCTTATAATAGAATGCATTCACTTTTGTATCTTCAATATTTAATCTCACTATATTGTATTGCTCAATGTATCAACATATTAACACAAAATAAACCTAATGGATTAAAAAGATTAGAAATACCATCATATGTTTCAATCGTAAACCTTTGAAAGCTAAGGCTAAGAGCAATCAATCTCTTTTTTTCTCTTTCTTCAAGTCAACCATCATGTTGATCACAATTAGGTCGGCCATCAGAGTTTCTAGCTAAGCTAAGTTTTAGAGACTTTTACTATAGTGAGATGACCTCCCTCTTCTGCTAGTCCTTTTCTTAATGCCATTCTAAACTTAGTAAAGAAAGCCCTTATCTAGAACATCAAAATGTTGATGCCAAATTTGGACTGAAAGGCAAAAACCTGAAATCACAAGTACGAGGTCGATTAAAAGCAAAACTTAAAGTTATTACTAACCTTTACATTTCGACACTCAAGTCAATGAGATAGAGAAACAGAGAAATAGGTAAGAAAGTAAATTAAAAAATAAAAAAATTAAGAGAGAATGAATAGCCTCTTCACCTAAAGAGAGAAGATAAGGTATTTATACTTGAAGGATTAGTGACCTAGCAAGTTGGCATTAAAGAAATGCATTCCGATAAATCAATTCGACCTATAACATTAGCTCACCTCACCATATCAACTCAAATCAAATAATCAAAATAACTTTGAGTCAACTGAGTCATTCTCTTATGATGAAAGATAATTATACTTTTATAACCGTAGAATGCCTCTAATAGTTTATTTTTCATGTCATTTGTAGATCTTTCATCATGTAAACTATAAATAGAAAAAATTATAAAAAATTGTATTTAAAGAAATTCTAAAAGTCATCAAAAATTAAAAAATATATATTCAAAGATAATATGAAATTTAAAAAATCAAATATTCAAAAATATTCAAAAAGAATTAAATCAAAATATGGAAATGTTTTTTAAAAAAATTAAAATATTGAAAAACTTTTTAAACAAATTCAAAATCTAGAAATTTCTTATTAAAATTCAAAATCTTGAAAATTTTTTAAAAATAAAAATTTGTAAGAAAAATTTAAAAATAAAAAATTAAAGGAAAGGGAATAAAGAATGGAAAGGAAAAATAATTAATTGGTTGTCAATTTTTATAATCTTGAATAAATTGATGTCAATTGCCTAAAATTGCATGATGGATAAATTATCCATTCCTTTCCTCATCTTGTAAGGCCCTTCCCCTTTCTCTCTCTCTTTTTTTTTTTTCATTCTTTATTAATTTTTTTTAATTTCAAAAATAAAAAATCTAAAAGAAATTTGATT